TAACTATTGGAGTTGAGATATCGATGTCATCTGACTGGATATTGTTAATCATTTAACATGTCATCAATTTTTTTTTTTTAATCTCAACTCTCTCTAATCCAAATAATTAGCTTTAATTATAATATCCTTAGTAGCACTTAAACTCCATTTGTGTTTTGAGTTTGGCGGACAGACAGATTGATATAAACAAAATTTAAACATAAAAATCGGAATATCTGATAGATCTTGGTTCGGGAATAAAGCAATTAGAAATATTTAATTCGTAGCTATAATGATACTATGCCCAATAAAAATAATAAAAGAATTTATAGTTTTATCATTTACGAACCAGCAATGGATAACGACATAACGAGAGATTAAGACAGTACTAATAAACAATAATCTCACTTAATCAGTCATCACCGGTTAACTTAAAGGGTACTTCAGTAATTACGCTGATCGGTTTAGCTTGGACGGTCGAACTTTAAACAGACGAATGAAAAATCGAAGAAGAAAAAAAAAAAATTCTCTAATTTCCTTAAAGCAAAGCGTCTTCGTCTCTTCTTCTTCTTTCTCACACAATACTCTTGTCTGCATTAGACTCGTTTTTCTCCAAATTTTCGTGTTTTCCACTCTTCAAATTTCAACTCTAAACTCGTATAAATTGTGAATAGTCTCTGTCTTGTTGATTTGTATTCTCCCAAAAGTAATTAGTTTTCTCGAATTCGGTTTCGTGTTAGAACTCGTGAATCCATTTTAAAAAGGTGACTTTGATTCCCAGGAAATCGACGTGTTTCCTGGAGCTAACTCTGGGATATTCTTTGATTCTTTTGATTTCTGAAACCTGAAGCTTCGGATTTTAAACCAGAACCAACGAGCTCCAATGGTGGTGGCGACGACTATAGGTCTTTACGCGGCCCCGACACCGCATCAGATCAACGCTTGTGATTTCGATCTGAGCTCAAGGAGTTCGTCGGCTTCCCCTTCGACGCCGCATAAACCGATCGTCGGAGGTCTCTCTTCGCTTTTCTCCGGCGCATCGGTCAAATCTTCGACTTCCGTCGGAGTAGAGGACTTCTCGTCTTCCTTACGCCATGATCGGACCGAAGATTTGAAAGATCTGAGCTTGAGCAGCTCCTTTTGTTATTCTCCGGCGAAATTTGTGGGTTCTTCGTATCTAAGACGAGACCATCAAAGCCCAATCTCTGTGCTTCACGGTCCACTCTCATGTAGCTGTAGCCCTCCGATGAGAATCTCTCGCGATCGGAATCTCGGAGCTAACGGATTGTTCAATGGATTCGTAAGGAAAGCTCTGGGTTCGTGTGTGGATTACGAATTGGAACCGTCTTCTTCGTCGGATTCGATTCTCGTCGATGAGCTTACGTTTTCAATGGAGGATGGATTTGGAGCAGATACGAGACAGCCTTATGCGAGGGATTTGCTTAGACGAGCTCAATTGAGGCACAAGATCTTCAAAGATGAATTAGTGATCAAAGCATTTTACGAAGCAGAGAAAGCTCATAGAGGACAGGTAGAGAAAAGACAAATCTCGTAGCTAGTTTTCG